CTTACAGCCCTATTATCAGGCAATGTACAGTGTAAGTCTGAGACCATTTACTTGATTCAGTTGCGTACATTATTTCCACATTAATTAAATAAATTAACACAATTGCTGTCTTTCAGTTTACTTTTACTTTCTTTTGGCACTAACAGTGTATGTGTGTGTGTGTGTGTGTGTGTGTGTGTGTGTGTGTGTGTGTGTGTGTGTGCATGGTGAGGCTTTAGATCTAAAAGGTCTTTAGGTTCTTACAGGGAGATTTAGTTGCATAAGGGGTCCAAATCAACCCAAATCTCAATCAATCAGCGCTCAACCTAAATACTGGTCTAACTCAATTAGACGACACACACACACACACACACACACAAGGCTGTGGTGGAGCCATAATCATTTAGGCGGATTTTGGAGATAGAACGAAAGACTAACATTGGGCATGTTGGCACGAGTACACACACACATCATACACACACACACAGAGTTTGGTTTCTCCTCTGTTATCCCTCTCATCGCCTTGCCTCTGAAAGAGTACGTGTGTTTTGGTAAGAAAAGCTGTGTTCAATTACTGCAACCACATATTTACAAACTCACACACACACACTCCCCCCCACACACACAGAAAGCCAAGTGGATCATCCTAATGCTCTTCAGGATTTTCCCATAGCAGATTAAGACTTGGTCTAAAACTGTTTTTCTCAAATGCTTTTTATTTCATTTGTTTTTATTTTAATAAAAAAAAAATGTTAATTGTCCAAAACCAGGCTTAAAAAGAGACTTTTACATACATACTAAAGAAAGCCATGACTATTCAAATGTATGAATGTCCAAACCTGGACTACTAAATTTCATTAGTTTTTATTTTTATCTAGTTTTTGTTTTTTTTGTTTTTTAATTTCCGTATAGTATAGTATGGTATAGCACAGTACAGTATAATACAGTACAGTACAGTACAGTGCAGCATAGTACAGTACAGTATAGTACAATATAGTATAGTTTAATATAGTATAGTTTAATATAGTATAGTATAGTTTAATATAGTACAGTATAGTACAGTATAGTATAGTATAGTATAGTATAGTATCAGTTCCTTTTATGGGTGCATTAATAGTGTTATTAGTGTTTTTATTTTCTGAAAACAGAAGAGTTTTAGTTTAGTTTTTATTTAGTTTCAGTTTTGCTAAATATTTTGTTAGAAAGTGGGCACAGCTCCAAACCGTACTCTGTTGTTTTCTTCTGATGTTTCGTTTTAGCAGAGCTACAGTAAATTAGCACAACAGTAGACTTCCTTCAGCATAGTTTAAAGCTTTACTAAAAAGTATCACCATCTCCTGAGTATTTAAGGGTTGACACAGAAGGACTTCACCTTAAGTCCATCCTTCATGCACTTTTTTTTTTTTTTAACGATTTAACTTTTTATTCTGGTTGCGGTTGACATTACAGCATTAATTTTGCTTTTTGTGTTTTTGAAAACTGTTGGCTTTATTTTATGTAAACTTTCTTTTGTAAACGGGTGCATACTGTCACAGCTAGTATTAGTTTTAGGAATATTTTTCACTAATGGTATTAATCCTGGTCCAAACGCATCTTTGTATTCATTTACTTCATCTAGTAACATTTAGTTCGGAATAAAAATTAGTTTGTATTATTTTGTCATTTTTAATCCTCTAAACCCCACAGCGGCCTCTGACGGCCATTTTGCATTTCACTGTAATGGCCGAGGATGGCAGTGATTAAATGTGGTGAATTCTTTCAGTAAACATGATAATTACAGCCAAGATGTTTAGATATTTTGTTTCTCAAAAGACAATATTAGTTTTCTATTTGCAACAAACATTTTATGCTTTTACACTTTTACAATGGTTCCCCCAATGAGGACCAGGCTTACAGCAAAAAATCAGATTTGAGCAATGAGGCTTGTAATGTGAACGTGGGCTAAATGATCGAGTACTGATCAGCTCTAAATAAACATTTTTGAACATTATTCATTTAGAAATGTGCTTATTCAAATAGTAAAAATGGCTATTTAATGTATCCGCACAAACACACAGACAAAATGGAGAGGAGGGCAGAAGAGGAATGAATGGAGAACAGGCTTTAAACATGTAACATCAGCAGCTACACGTACTCGCACAATGGAGCAGAGGGATGTTGAGGAGTGAATGGCCGCACTGACCCGACTCTATTGCCTCATGTGATCCCCCTATTAAACTTGAACCAGATGCTTCAGACACAACAGCTGTGCACCGAGTGTGTGTATGTGTTGGGCATGAGATATAAAAGGTGTGAGAAAAAACCTCAAGGCTGCGCTTTGCTTAAAACAGGCAGAAAAGCCGGCCTCCATATCATGTGACCCCCCCTCAACCCACACACAGCTGCCATGCCTCACAGTTGTGCTAACCTTTGACCTTTAGCATGCTGTGGTTAAGCTTGAGGGAAAACCCTCTTCTCTTACTTCCTCCCCCCCAACCCCACATACACACAGTTTTCCTAACCTCTGACCCATGGCACGCTTCAGAGCCTTGTTCGCAACCAGGCCTTTGAACAGGAGTAAGAGAGAGAGAGCGAGAGAGAGAGAGCGAGAGAGAGAGGGAGAGAGAGAGAAAGAGAGAGAGAGAGAGAGAGAGAGATAGACATCTTCCACTTCACACATCTACAACCTCTTATGGCTCTAACGTCAAGGTTTAAACAGGCTTTTACACACATTACATCACCTGATCATTATATCACAATGTACACTGTGTCATTTGCCTTAAAGGGGAATTCCACAAATTCTTAAAATTTACTGCTAATTCAGTCAGTGAAACCTAAAGAAAGTCATTCAGAGCGTTCTGATGTGAAATGGCCCATTACAGAGAAAGGTAAACACCTTTTCGTTACAGTGGTGCTGATAGGAAGCAGAGGTCACAATACCTACAACACAAATAAAGCCATTTTATTTACTATCCAAAACCAGCTGTGAGGGTACACTTGTCTGATGAGTCTTTATATAGAACGCTGATAATAGCAATAAATTTGTAAAAATAAGTTTTCTTTCTGAGACTATTTTGGCTTACAACACCCTGCGTGTACCCTTCTGCCACAAAATCAAAAAAGAATTAGGCCAAATTTTTTTTAAATATTATAAAACAATGTTCCAGGCATAAGGCAGCGCATTCATAACCATTCCAAGTAATGTCTTTCTGTGAGGGAGCTTTCAGAAATATTTAGCTCTTATTAGACACCAGGTTCCTATCAACACCACTGTGAACAATTTGGAGTCAGTACATTTCTCTAGAATGGAGAATTTCACAGTAAACCACTCTGAATGACTTTGTATACATATTAACCAATGAATTATGAAGAAGTAGTAAAAAAAGGTCCTCTTTACACGTCAATCTAAATAAATGCAGTACAAAATAAACCTAAACAGTAAAAGATTAACGAAACACTGGAGATATCATTTACAGAGAATTGTGTTATATTGTTGAACTCTAGCCCTGCGATGGACTGGCGACCTGTCCAGGGTGTATCCTGCCTTCCGCCCAATGACAGCTGGAATAGGCTCCAGCACCCCACCGCGACCCAGAAGGATAAGTGGTTTAGATGATGGATGGATGGATGGATGAATGTTGAACTCTATTAAAATCACTGTCTTTTATGCCGTTAATTCAAATTCCATCTTGGAAGCTACCAATAACAAAGGCATGCTGTAATTTCTTAGGAATTATTTCTCACTCAGATCACTAATACAAGTGGAAACTGTCCACAGTGTGGATTCTAAACTTTCAATCCATATCAAATTTGAGACTGCAAGTAAGATGTGGCATTTTATTATGCTTGGAATTTGATGAAAAGCATCCTATACACTGCTGCCATGCTTTTATCCTTTTTTTTAACAATAAAACAAATATTGCAGGATCAAACCTGTTGATGCTGAATGTAAATTAAAAGTAAATATAATTCATTAAATAACACAATTACTGAACTAATTTTGTAATTAAGTAATTACATTACATAGTATAGCAAAGTGACAGTGTTAATTGTAGACTTCTGAGACTTAATCGTCTGAATTTGATATTTGCTTGCAATCATTGCAATCAAAAATAAATGTTCATTGTATGTTTTGTTTCTGCCAATACAGGTCAGTGGATCCCAAACACACAGAGGGGTCATGATAGTTAAACACAGCAGCCGCTGACAAAGAGACAAAGGTCACTCACGTGTCGCAGACATAACAAAACCAGTAGGGGTCACAGTATATAGTATGCCTATGGGCCAAAAGAATACATTTCTTTTAAATGCACAGAGGCATTGTCTTGCCTACGGGGCCCATTCTAAAGTCTTCTGGATACCGAGTCACATGGAAATGATGGAAATGTAGCAAAAGCAAAAAAAAGTCTATGCACCTCTGGGTGCTATGTTGCTTGGTCAGGAGTTTTTACAATAGGAGGCACGTGCTCTTTGAGTTTAGCCAGGTATAAATGCAAGGGGTTAAACGATGCTTGATGTCAGTTCACCAACAGGCAACTGCTCCAACGGACGGGACACACACACGCATCGTGACCATGGGCAGGGTAAGCAAGCGCCACAGCAACAACAGCTGTTTACTTGCTAAATTTAAATTTGAAAAAAAATGAAAATTGTACAAAACAAACTTTTCTTGTCTTTTCTTCAACAAATAATAATTTAACTCCCTCTAGGCATATTATTCTGTTCATTTTTAGTTAGTCTGTTACTATGAAACTGATACAGGATGAGGGTGAGGAATTAAATTGGAGACCCATATACAGACCATTAAGGTTTAAAGGATTAAAACTAATTTAATTAAAAAAAAAGAAAAGAAAAATGCTTTTTTGATCAAACTCAATCTAACCCCTGCAGGCTTATTATTCAGCTACTATGAGACCTAAGACTTAAGTTATGTAGTTGAGGTATTGTGGTGTCAGCCAGCATACAGGCCCTGGTAGGTTCAGGGATTAATCATGTGTAATTGTGTAGAAGTGTTGCTTATTTGTTTATGTTTTCCCAAACAGGTTATCTTCTATGAGGACAGGAACTTCCAAGGCCGCTCCTATGAGTGCAGCGGCGACTGCTCTGATATGTTCTCCTATCTGAGCCGCTGCCACTCCTGCAGGGTGGAGAGCGGCTGCTGGATGGTCTACGACCGCCCCAACTACATGGGCAACCAGTACTTCATGAGGAGGGGCGAGTACGCTGACTATATGAGCATGTGGGGATTCAACAACTGCATCAGGTCCTGCCGCATGATCCCCATGGTAAGATTATTAACATACTATACTATATAGAGGTGTACAAACGTCTCATTATGTATCTGAAGGTGGAGATTCAACTGCATCAATGTTCCATCAATGTTGGCATTTTGGAATGAATTAAAATTCATTATAACAATATTCTATGAAGTAGGCACTGATTTTTTTGACCAAAATAAAATTCTCAGGCTATCTGACACTAAATAATGTACTAAAGAACTGTAATCACACTAAATCAAATCATCAAGAGCTCCGAGATAGCCCTATTTGTTGGTTTTCGCTGTGTTCTGCAAGAGTAACTTATTTAGTTCTCTTCCCAAAAAACAGCACAGAGGATCCTACAGAATGAGGGTCTACGAGAGGGAGAACTTCATGGGTCAGATGATGGAGATGACTGATGACTGTGACTCTTTCATGGATCGCCATCACTGGTCCAATGGGTGCATGTCCTGCCATGTGTTTGATGGCCACTGGCTCATGTACGAGCATCCCCACTACAGGGGAAGGATGTCGTACTTTGGCCCTGGAGAGTACAGGAGCTTCAGGGACTGGGGCGGCATGAGGTTCATGAGCATGAGGCGCATCATGGACTCCTGGTATTAAACCAAGGTGAAAATGTAAATGTTTTCCAATAAAAAACAGAAATCTTCTGTGAACTGGACTGTGGCTGTTTCTTCTTCTAACCCAACACACAGGTAACACACAAAAAGGTAAAAATGAATAAAAAATTGAATAATACTGATAAAAATAATGATAATCAGCACTAGCTGCACTAGCTGTCAATTCATGATAACCTTCTGGAAGTCTATGACATATATATTTATCATTACTGATACAGTCATTACTGCAGCAAACAGGTGGACAAACTCTCTTTTAATGTCCTAGATTTTAGAAGAAACACTGGATGAGCAGGTGTCTACAAAAGTTTGGACATACAGGGTAATTTGCTTTAATATAGGCCTACTTTACAGAGAGCAAAAGAGGAAAAAAACACAGATGAGTGTGTGCGGCAGCAGTCCAGGGGATGACCCCATGTGTCCAACAGAACCGCATGACATAGTCAGTGGAGGACACAGCTGAGACAAACACACACACACACACACACACATACACAAAGACCCAGGAGAAAACTCGCTCTGATTAGGAGCAGCTGACCACCACATTAACGCATCATGTTTTTCTGTCCCACTTGGTTCACTCTTCTTTCATCTTTTGCATTTAAGTATTTGTTATACGAATGACTTTTTTCTGTTACAGTTAAAATCAAAACAATATATCACTGCTCATTTTAAAATCTCATAATTTATATTGACAGTAAGTGTGTTTTTGCTTATAAAATCACTATATCAATAAATTAAATGCAAAAAAGGTAACTATGGATTTATTAAACATTAAATTCCACCTCCAGCACACTTTATTTAAGGTATAGCATTATATAGGCAACACACACACACACACACACACACACACACACACACACACACACACACATACACCTGTATTGAACATTCCAGTTCATCCAAAAGGTGTTCCGTGGTGTCCAGGTCAGGGCTCTGTGCAGGCCACTGGAGTTCCTTCACACCAAACTCGTCAAAACCTGGCTTTAAGGATTTTGCGTTGTGCACTGGGGCACAGTCCTGCTGGAACAGGAAAGGGCCTTCCCCAAACTGCTGCCACAAAGTTGGAAGCATATAACTGTCTAAAATGTCTTTGCTGAAGCATTAGCATAACCCCTCACTGAAAGTTGGCCTAGCCCAAACTCTGGGAAAAAAAGCCGCAGACCAACATCCCATCCTTCAAATTCACTGCTGGTACCATGCATTCTGGTAGGCAGCCTTCTCCTGGCATCTGGCAAAGATTAATCCATCAAACTGCCAGTGAAGCGTAAGTCATTACTCTAGAGAACACGTTCCCACTGTTCCAGAGTCCAGTGATGGCGTGCTTTACACCACTCCAGCCGACACTTGGCATTGCGCATAGTGAGCTTAGGCTTATGTGCAGCTACACATCCATGTCAACCCATTTCATGAAGCTCCTGAAACACAGTTCTGGATGCAGTTTGGAACTCGTTAGTGATTGATGAAACAGAAGATAGAGAAGATAGTTGACGCTTTTATTTTGCAATAAAAGCACTATAGTTGACCCAGACAGATTTAGGAGGGCAGATGTTTCATGAACTCACTTGAGGCAAGTGTGGCATCCTATGACAGTGCCTCATCACTGTGAACCATTCTACTGCTTTAATGTTTGTCTATGAAGTTTGCATGGCTATGTGCTTGATTATGTACACCTGCTAGCAATGGGGGTGGTTGAAACGGGGGTGTCTTTATATATATATATATATATATATATATATATATATATATATATATATATATATATATATATATATATTGTATGTATATAATTGTATATATATAATAAAACTAGGAGTCTTGTGGTACAAGTGGCTCCCTGCAGTTTAAGGAGCTGCTCATGGTCAAGCATTAGATCATTCACTTGCACACATGCTAATACCTGCCTGTCTCACGCATGGAGTAATATCTTTCTCAGCTGTAGAGTTCTCTTATTCCTCTCTCTGCGGGACAGAGGGAATGACAGGTATGGAAAATCAGCCTCATCCTCAACCGACAGAGAAAAGTAATCGCTGACAGATACTTTTACACTCTCACACACGCACACACACACACATTTAACTCACACACTTATTATTATTAAATGACTACTATGAAGTATATAGTAACTAGTTTATATATATATATATATATATATATATATATATAGTAACTTTAAATTATTGACTAACAATTATTAACCACTATACATTCTTCAATAACTACTATGAATTAACTATAAATTGTTCAAATGCTACGTTACATGTTTTAGTACATAATTTGCTGATTTTGGTAACATTTAAGACAGAATTATCTGAATCCCTTTCTCTAATTCACTTCTCACATATATAATATTCACGTTTAATGTTATGCCAAGAGCCGCTTTATCAACTCTAGTTCCTTTTTTTCTCTTTCTCTCTCTCTCGCTCTCGCTCTCTCTCACACACATGCACAAAATACACATGCAATCATTTCTGGCCAAGCAATTTTCACGTTAAAGACCTCCCCCTCCCTGTTCTCTCTCTCTTTCTCTCATTCTTCATCTCTCCCTACCTGTCCGGGACCCTGCTGGTTCACAGCTTGCTCTCACAAAAGTTAAATTAATAGCAAATGTGCTTTCTGACTCTTATTTCTCTTTGGCCTTAACATTAAGGACACATGGAACATTTTCTTGGCAGGAAGAGAGTTTTTTTTCCCCATTCTTTTTCTTTTTTTTTATCTTTTCTGATTTCTTAAAGGTGTTCGGCCCTGGATTTTTTCAAATGTATAAAAAAAATATATCTAAGTCATGACAAGCAAGGGGGGAAAAAGATCACTCATCAGTGACACCTCGGAGAGAATATGTATCTGTGTGGTGTGTCTATGTGTTGAGTATTCTTCATTTAATCCTGAAAAGCAACAGCATATGATTGTGTGGACCAGCCACAGTGTAATAATTTCAGCTGTAAATTCTGAAGATATTAAAAAAATTAAAAATTCAATCCTTCAAAGTACTGTATCAGAGGTTTTCATCTCCGGACCACGAATATAGTTTCTAGTCCTGAAATTTGAAATCATTTAGGTGGTTAATCATTCACATCAACGGTGTAATTAACTACCACTGAATATAAAATCCAGCAATGGAAACTGGATTCAAGGTCTGAATGTGAAAACACTGGTACTACAAAACAATTTAAAGTCTAGGCGAATCAGAAATCATAACTCATTTTCCTTCCGTACTGTGATGTATTTCCAAGTGAAAATCATGATTGGGGAGGGTCTCTGAGCTGGCTGAGTGTCTTCTCTTGACGATAACTGGGGGGCAGTGGGAGGTTGGTGTGAAATAAATTATTTAAGTTAATTATTAGTTAATGTATTTTTTTTCCATCCACTGGTGCACAGTGGTGTAATCAAAACTCAGAAGACATTTTAGAGGCAAACAAAAGTCACAACATTTAGGAAATTGTCTATTAAAAGGTATGATGTGATGAACTGTGCCTAATGTAACCACAGACGTGAAATAACAGGGTTAAAAGGTCCATTTTGATTTAAGTTTGTTAAGGTTTTTCTTGATGCATAATTTTTATGATGAATAGCCTAAATGAAATTGCCCAAAATTATTTGAAAAGAAGTCTGGTTCCATTGACTTACATTAAAAGTAAAGTATGTTTTTTCCTTCTCCTGTAAAGTTACCATTTTTGAGATAGGACAGCAGCGATATGTTACTATTACTGTGAAAAATTACATCACAATATGCTTGTCTGTGTACAACATCAGCACACCTAGAACACTGCTTTATTCCAGAACACTGCTTTAATCTAGAACACTGAACATCGACATGCACCACAAAGAGCCTGAAAACAACATCCTGTGTGTGGTAACTGTATTAACTGCACAGTAAGAAGTAGCTAAATAGATACCAGCCCATTATTAATTTACCAATTGTTAAGACTTTCACCCAGAATTCCCTTTTTAAATATGGCACTCCTGTTTTGCTGGTGCATTTTGATCGTCCCAACTTCTTCACAAACCTCAGAAAAATTCTGAACAGCTTAGTTGAAACCTCTCCAATGTTGGTGCATATATTAAAGAAAGATGATGCACATTTACTTATGATGTTGCCAGTCCAAACAACTACATGTGTCAGAAATCAATTATGCCTACCTAGCCTGCTCTTCCAAACTGATCATCTATGCAGAAATTTAGTGAAATCTAAATTAAATTGAATTAATCTTATAACAAATAGTGATCTAGAGAAACAGAGAGAGACAGGGACAAAAAATCTTCTGAAAAAATACCACAGCCTGGCTTTATCTACTACACATTTGACTTTTTAACCCGTTCTGTGTTAATCCTTTGAAAATTTAGGTTCAAGTAGCCATTACGGCTGTACTTGATGTGTCATTCATCCTGTCATCCTTCCGTAATCACGTCCATGTTTTGGACCTCAAAGGAATCTCTGTTTTATGTAAAATTTGGGACCCCAGGAGGAGATAAAATGTATAATAATAAGCTGTGTAGGTCACAATAACAAAAAGATAACAAAGAAAAATAAACACTGATACAAACAGTTACTTTTATCAAAGTGGTTGGGTTTGTCAAAATGCCAGGATCCCAAAATAAAGGAAAACTATCAACTTTGCATTAAGTCAATCAGGAAGATCTCCTTTTCAACCACCTAATAAAACTCTTATTTTCTTGCCTAATTATCAGATGAAATCAGTCATTTAAAACGATGCTCAACATGATCGTGTAGCGCACTATTGGTGCTTCAACTGACTAATTTACAAAACTTGTTCCACGAAGTTGAGAAGCCTGCCGCCGCTGTTGAGTTTTAAAAAATTGCAGGCCACTTTACAATATGCAGCTCAAATGAAATTTAGTTTTATGTAAGTTTCAAGCAACTGCAGTTAAAGTTTCACCATGTAAAGCTGGGCTAACATATTAGCGGACAACAGAGTGGCAGTTGTTTTCTATAGAAGTAGGCGATTTCTTGCAGTAATTTAGTAA